GCGCCAGTCACATTGACGAGAGCTCAGATGCCCGGCGCAGGCTGCTTGGTACAAGGCTTTGTGCTTGAAGTGGTTCCACCGCGGGCCTTGCTGGCTTCCGGCATGTATCTGATCATATGCAGAACTGCTTCCGCGTCGACACTTGCGACTCGCGCGTCGCTTCATCTGTCGGCGGAAAACGAGGTCGTTCTGATCAGCAGCGGTCGCCGCGACAGCGCCCGCATTTTTTGTCACCAACGTGACCGGCCACGCTCTGGTATTGACTACTTTCACGGGTGCCATTCGTTTTTCTCAGGCGCCCAGATCGTTGCTTGGGAGCGCGCGCGCGCGGGTGGTCACCGCGCAGGGCGCGACCCCTGCGACCCCGCGCGCCAGGCCGGCGCCAACGACGGCAGAGGGGGAGCTTGGCCTTTCTGCGCGCCGCCGACCGCCATCTGCGCGACGACAGCCATTGTGACGTGATCTACCAGTATTCAAATAGAGGCCTGCGCGCCCGTCGGCCGCCAACCGGGCCCGCGCGCGCACGGCGCCGCCGCCGCGCGGGTCGGCCACGACGCGCGTTGACCGCGGAACATCGCAGCCGGCTACTACCGCGGGCAAGGTGCAGCGCCACCCGTGCACATCCGTCCCGGACGCATGGCCCGGATGGCGGCGCATGGCTGCGCGGCGCGTTTTTTTGGCGCGCTCTGGTGCGCGCCGCGGCGCTATGTGGCTGCTATCTGGCCGTGCGACGCGTTTGCGGCGCGCCCCCCTGCGCGCCGCGACGCCGCCGCCACGGCGACAAACCCTGCGAGCGCGCGCGCTGCATGGCCGCGCCGTCACGGCGCGGCCGCGCGCGCTCCGAAGCAAGGCGCGCGCGCGCGACTGCGCGGCACTGCGCCTCGTCGCGCGGCGCAGCGGAGTGCGCGGGCGCGCGACGCTGCAACAAATGGGCGCGCGCGCACCCGCGTTGGGCGAGCGACCGTCGAAAGCGCGCTGCCGCGAGGGCCGACCAGGTCTTGCAACGCGAGCGCGCTGCCCACGCACGGCCCTGTCCAATCATCCAGCAACCGCGCTTGCACTGGGCGCCCTGGCGCGCTCAGGCACGGCCCAAGCAGCTCGACCACAGCTGCAGCAACAACGGCGACAACCACAGCGTCGACCACGGCGGGGGTTACTACAGCCTGGGCATTGTCTTTGACTGCGCCCACTTCAAGCGGGCCACACCGCCGTCCAGGAGATCGCGGCCAACGCGATCTACACGCGCGCCGGCGCTAGCGCGGCACCACCGCGCAGGACGCGTCAAAGATGCGCCAGCACGAGCGCCGCCAAAGGGGCGTTCAGCCTCAACTTCGGACGAGTCCGAGGCAGCGCCCCTCCCAGGGATCAACCGCGCAGGTGGCTTGGACATCTGAAGCAACGCGACCTCCGCGCATCCACCGGCAGGCAAGGCCAATCCCGGCCCGCGCGTGCTCGACCTGCCTGCCGGCAAGCACCGTCGCAGAGATTCTGAGACAGGCAAGTCTGCCCCGAGTGCAGGGCAATGCTCAGCCTTGATTAACTGGCGCGCAGAAGCGCGCACTTATGCTCGCGGCTGCTCACGCACATGCGCGCGCGCTGGATACTGGAGCTACGCCGCGCACTGCGATGGCGCATTGACGCGCGCGGCAGCCCGAGCAAACCCAGGGTGGAGGTGCCAGCTACCCGAGCAATCTCGGCCTCAGCTCAGCAAGGCCGAGCGCTGATCGCTGCCGAGGGTGGTGCTTCTTGGTGCCGGGTGTCCGGTGCAGGTCATGCATCTTGCTGCTCTTCGAGGTTTCTCGGTGCTTCTCCATGCTTCGTGCTGCTGGGGCCCAGGTGCGCCGACTACAGCGCCAGCCCTGTCTTCGAGTTGCCGTCCGCGGGCCGCAACCTTGCCGAGTTCGGCTGCGACCGCCCGTGGACCGCCGGGTCGCAGCTGCATTCCGGCAACGTTGCGGCCGTTGCCCCTTCGCTCTTCGACGCGCCACCCCGCGCCGGCGCGCTGCCGAGCCGCGCGCGATGGCGCGCGCGCGCAACGCGCCTCTTGAGCGCCGATCTCCACGTGCACTCAGCCCAGCGCGCGGCAATCGCAAGTGCGTGGATTCGGAAGTACGACATCGTCTGGGAGGTGCGCGCCACCATTCTTGGAGTTCCCGCGGCGCGCCCAACGCCGCTGCGGTCATGCGCCGCCTGGGCTGGGAAGATGGATCGCGCTACGACGCGTGAGCGATTTGGACTTTGATTCGTATGCCTGCGCGATCTATGCGCACCGCTGACTCGTCTCTGCCATCGCTCACTCCAGCGTTGCCAGCCTGCCTGTGTCTCGTGCATATTGCTGGCTGCAATTCAGCCCGAATCGCGCGCCGAACAACAGCTCGCGAGCGCGGGCTCGACT